TGTTGCGAAGAAAAGGCACTGAACACCTTTTGCAGAGAACACCTTTCTGCGTAGGCGGCCTGCGGCCGCACTTAGGGATTATAACCCTCACAACGTAGAATTCTCTTTCTGTGTTGCGAAGAAAAGGCACTGAACACCTTTTGCAGAGAACACCTTTCTACGTAGGCGGCGTCGGCCGCACTTAGGGTTTGTAGGCTTTTTTTTATAATTATTTTACATTAATTCAATTTTTGTAAGAACTACACAACATATATATAAAGTACGTATAGCAAATAAAGGGAATCAAATTTGCTATTAAATGAAATCAAAATTTTCAAAATCCATTCATTTGTTTTTGAGAAATTTTGATTTCAAAAATTGCTTATTTTGAACTTTAATCTTTGATAATTCTTGTTGTTGTTGTTTGCCCAAAAAAAGAAGTATACCGTTATACTCAGCTCAATCATCTCTATCGATTCCAATATTTTTTTTTTTTAATTTGAGATTTGGAGCCCAACTGCATTTATGCCATTATGTCAACAGAAAAAGTTTATCACACTCAGCTGTCAGCAATTGATTTATTAAATAAACGAAAGATTGGAGTGCAAAGTTGCCAAGTCCCAATTTAAAAATTTTACAGCAGAGGAAAAAAACTTCTATAGCCATTTTCTTAGAGTATTTCGCACAACTTTGAATACAACATTTGGCCTGTTTAAAGCAAAGCAAAACTCCATAAGAATCAGAGGGATTCGATCTTTATTAAAAGATTTCAAATTATTTTGGCCCATCGAATTTTCGGAGCTTTTTTTGGACTTGCCCTTTTTTCTTTTCATTGAATATAAACGAGAAAATATAAACCAACGATACATTACGATACATAAAAACCAACCATCTGCCAAATTCCGGCGAAATGTCATCTGTTCTCTCACAAGAGAAAAATATCCCAAATAGTACGCGAACAGAAAATTTGCAGAAACTTGCAAGTTAGACGAACAGCTGATATAATTTTTGTTTACATTCAAAAGTGTAAAATTTAAAACGTACGAAAAGTCATCACAAAGTGTTATACTGGCACAGTTTATTGATTAAACAAATAACTACTTATTTCTTATAATTAGTCGCATTTTGTAATTTTTAACTTCCAAACCATCAAATTCAATTTTGTGATTTGCGTAAATGCCAACCAGCTGTTTTTGATCAGCTGTTTTCCTGTTGGCAAAATTTTTTCCAGCAGAAAACAGCAGCTTCTTCTCAAAATGAAATGTCACTTTGCTCTCTCAATTTCCCCTACTTTGCAAGTTTTTTGCGTACGCGAACGCAAAAACTTGTAAGTTTTGGTTATACATGAACAATTAACAGCTACGCGAACGCAACTATTGCCATCATTTATAACAGCTTTGTAGTTTAAATTTTTAATTACCCCAGTAAAATTTTAATTTGGTCAAGTAGGGACTTAGATGACAATGTGTGGTTAATTAAAATACATATATATTTATTAGAGCGTTTTTTTTGCGACTATTTTTTTTCACTCCTACGTCAAAATTTTGTGGAAAACACCTAAAAAAAGCTCCCTGAGTTTGAACCCTTAATATTAAAAGACAGTTTTGTAGAGCATTCAATTCTGAAGAAAACTCATCATTGACCAAGATTATACTATAAAATGCCTCCGAGCTGTACTTTTTAAGAAAAAAACTCAAAGTTTACATGTATTTTATATGGGAAAACTTTGCACGGCTTGGGCGTTGTAAAATAATTTCATATGAGTTTCTATATATTTTCAAATCATTGTTAGTATATAAGATATCTACTAGTAGTTTTTAATTAGTACATAGTACACTGTCTGTGGTGTTCAGAAAATTAGTGTTTTGTTTATTTATGACTTCTTTGATTTGATAAAAATGCTAGATGACCTTTAGGGCACTTGTTTGCGTAGTGCCCCTTATTTCCACATTTATAGCAGGTTATTTCATCCAACGGTTTTGGCACCTTGACAAAGTTACTGCTTGATGACACGTGATCTACACCGGTTTTAACCTCAGAGTTATCCTTAAAATTATAGTTCTGATGCGGTTTTTGAAAGCCGCCATATTTAAAGCGAATTTCATTAGTGTCGTTAGCATCGGGATTCTTTTTACATGCTGACGCTTTGTGTCCCAATTCGCCACAAAAATGACATGTAGGTACTTTTTTTAGCAACAACTCTTTAGTCATGTCAGAAATGGGAGGCAGTTCGAATCGGGGATGCATAAATTTGCAATCCCAACCATTTGGACAAAATCCGGCTAAATAGTTGCTACAAAGCACGCGACGTACGTGTCGATGTCTACAATGTGGACCATGCCTACAGAATCCTCGGTCATACCAAGGACAATCTTTTACTTTACTTTCGGGATCAATATGCAGGAAAGGACATTCCTTATTATGGCAAGCATTAAAGCGCGAATAAAAGTAGCATTCCGGCATTTTTTTCATGTCATATTCGTGAAGGAACTCACACTGATCACCTTTTTTGCATAGCCCTCGTAGCCAATGTTTGCATACTATAGTTCTATCTCCTCTAATATGACGAAACGGGCAGGATGAACCCTTTTCACATTCAAGACCATTTTGAGAATTGACAAACTGGCAAACGGCGGCCATTGATTCTGTGAGTAAACATTATGTAGGCTTTATTTACTTTTACTTATTTACTTACTGTCCATTCCAAAAAATGGCAAAGCAATAGCGCCAATCTGCTCCACCAAATCCTTTTCGATTTTAAAATCAATATTGTTAACATTTGCCAGTAAAATTTCCATTTTGGTACTCCTTGATAATGCCAAATCCCGATGTAAACATTAAAAGCGCTGTTACCAGGTTGCCGTCACACAGAAATACATTCACAAGAGATGGAAAACTTTCGATGGCACTATCGGTTGATCGATGTTTTCAAAAGTATGACTGCTTTTACACAGTTCAAGTATTGAATTCAATTCTGCTCGCATGTGAAAGAGAGGTGGTTTGAAGGAAAGGCACGAGTATATCAAGTTGTTTCAAGTTTCTGGCTTTGCTTTTGACATTTTCGTTGTTTCCCCTTTTAAAGAATCAAAAACTTTTAATGCAGCGTGTAAAAGTAAATAAAAAACACAAAAGAGAATGAGCAGTAATTGATTTCAAGTTCTTGAAACATGTAAATCGGGTGTATTTAGCCTGTTCCGTTTCTCCAGGACATAGTAGGGCCTGTCTCCTCCGGAAAACACTGATGTCGTGATAAGTATGTCACAATTAATTTTTTACCAATGGAGACCGCCTATTTATCAATAGTTTGACAGCCATATTTTCATTTGAAAGAAAGCGTGCTCCTGGTAACAAGCAGCTCGAGAGTTAAAACTAAAGCCCAAAATACAATAACGCAGTGGCAGTGGCAGTTTTTCGAAATCAGGTGTTTTTTAGAAAGTGTGGTGTCCAATGAAGGGACTCACAATACAGCAGTGGCAGCTGGCAGTACTGCTCAGTTTAGCCCAATTTCTAAATTCACTGCCACCGCCTTCTTCGCAGCAAACTTCGCATGTTGAATTTGACATAAATTAAACGCAGCCAACTTCTGTTTATGTCACTGAAGCCTAGAAGGTAACAACAAAAATGTAAACAAACAAAAAGGAATGTCAAAAGAAGGTGTCGCTGACAACGCCGTATTGTGTTTGCTGCGGCAGTGACTGCCAATATTAGCAGTAACAGCTAATTTTAAGCACTGTCACTGCCACTGCCACAGCGCTATTGTATTTTGGGCTTAAGTTTAAACCACAATTGTGCACTGAAAAACTGGCCCAAGAGAGCAATTCTTCACAGTCAGAAGTTATAGGAATTTTGATTTGTTTTTCTTCCTGCGAATTCATGAAAAGTGTCAAACGAAAATCAGGGTTGCGTTTCTTCTTCTTCACAAAACAAAAAGCGATAAAGCAAAGCATACAAGCAAGGTGTATAGCCGTATATAAATAAATTTTATATAAATTTTATCAAGGGCAATATTTGGGCATGTGCATTTTTTATCTTGATAAAAGCATTTGGAAGATCGCTATTTTTGCCGGATTTATTCCCTTAAAATATTTAGAAAATATGCTATTTCACATCCAGGTACAAAATAACAAATATTTTATTAGAAAACAGCACAACATATGCTTTTATATTAATATAACAATAATGTTGCCGCCAGGAAGTTATCGCGCAAAAGAAAATGTAGCTGTCAAAGTACCAAATTTCTGGCAATATTTATCAAGACAAAAGCTTTGAAAATTATTGATTGCCAAGAGCAATATGCGGTGTCCATTTGCAAAATTTTGCCTGATAATATTATCAAGGAAAAAACTTTTTCCTATTGAGACAGCAAGTAAAATTAGTATTTCTTTCATCATATATGTCATTCTGAAACCAGTCAATCAGACTGATACAATTGTCAAAGGAGCTAAAGGGTATTTGGTAGAATTTTGGGTAAGCATTGCAAGGATTAAATAATGATTAAACTATTTTTTTTTTAATTTCACTATTCACTTGCGATTATATTTTTTTTTGATTTGTTTCTGCCGAAGCAGCTGATTAAGAATTTCGAATTTCACGTCTTAGCTGGCAGTGCTGTTGATAGTCACGATCGGATTAAAGCATATCAATTTTCGAATTTTCGGAACGGAGCTACGAATTCGTAACTACGAACATTCGGATTACAGAGATGTACTGACGAAAGGTATGGATCGCGTTTTGAAAGTGCTACAAGTTCAATATTCATTGACGATATTGCAATCCGCGATCCAGATTTGAAAATGTTTAAAAATTTTGCGATATGGATCACCATCCATCCATGGTGAAATGAACTGAAGGTGGCGCATTCCCAAAACCGCTACTTTGGTTTTGCCGACTTTGACATTTATGGCAATACGTAAACAAACTTTTTGTTTAGAAACAAGTGCAAACGTATTGCAAACGTATTGTGTACTTTCAAGTGAAATATCGAAGTAATTCGTGCGTTCTGAAGTAAAAAACGTTTTATTTGTAATAAAAACTTTATAAAAATGTCGTGACGTGTGTTGAATTGCAGCAGACGTAGGGGTAAAGCCCTCAAATGCAGTTTTTTTTTTGTTTCCCCGCGACGACGCCTTGGCCAGAAAGTGGGTAGAGTTCTGCCGGCAGGAGAAGCCATACAATTTAGGCACCAGCGTAATATGCATGGAGCACTTTACGGACCACTTTTAAACACGACATGTTAAGTTGAAAACGTTGAAATACCACAAATTAAAAATTAAAATCGTAGGTAAGCAAGCATCGACCACTTTCTGCAGGAAAACATGCGCTGCGATAAGATATTATCACTTTTTCGGCACCTGCAATACAAACACAAAAATTCTAAATAGTTATTTAATAAGACCTATTCTTTTGAACACATTTCAAAAGTGGTTGTATATTTTTTGTTAACGTTGTGCTTAATTTGCTACATTAAAATATGGCTTGAGAAATTGATGAAGCGAGAAGAAAACACGTTTTCTCACTGCAAATTCACAACTGTCAACTTATTGTTCTTCGCCATATTCTTTGTTTACCCGTTGCCACAAATGTCATTCTGCGGGAATGCGCAATCTTGTATTCTATCGTTCTTGTCTTGATATAAGCATTTGTAATATATTGTATATAATTATTTTCTGACATATGTATCAAGATACAAAAATGCGTTGCCATTTGTGTACCACAAGTAAGCAGTTCACTTTACGCGGAAAACGTGTATTAATTTTGCTAAATGCGAAAATATATAATTTTTCACCTAATATATTAGAGAACAGTGAACATTTTAGTGCACTCCATTAATTTGCAATTGAGGCTGCGTCAGCAAACGTTTTAATGCACTCCATTGCTTTGCAATTAAGCCTGCTGCAGAAAACTGCAGCAGCACCTCTGCGGGATTGATTAGTTAACTTGTTAATGGAGGCTGCGTGGAGCAGAAACAAAATCATTATGAGGGAATGCTGTTAATATAATAATAGAGAAACATTTGGGGAACGGCTTTGTCGTGCCCTATGTACACAAAATGCAGCGATTCGTCCCAGCGCTACACTTGCATCTTGACGGCTGTCGCAACTTAACACACAGCGCTTCATTGTATTAGTTTTTACGCAGTCTTCAACTCAAGCGTCACTCACAAATTGCAAATTAACACAATTTAAACTGATTTTTCACTTATAGTTCAAATTTCTCTTTCGCTGATTTGTAAACAAAGGTTTATTTACAAGTTACCACAACTGCCAAAATCGGCAAAACCAAAGTAGCGGTACCACTGACTGCACCACCTTTGTTCGCAGCACCGTGATCAAGATATAAACTTTATTCTGTGGGACGGGCAGTAACGTCGAAGTTATTTGATTAGGAAATAAGAACAGTTTCACCCTGTTTTGTGCCTCAAATATCTTTGTACTCAGGATTGAATATAACATTACAACTTAAAGCCCTTTCCAAACATTTCCTCAAATATAGTTCATGCGATTTGCAGGACTTTAGGCAATTTTAATTGAAGAAAAAGTGATTTGCGACTACATTTTGTTTATTTTCTTCTCTATAACTAATTTTTTAATTGTGGATCATTTTAATGCCATCAAAACGTTGTAACATATAGTGAGACAATGTCTGTGCATTACAAATTTAAAAGTGCCCTAGACTTTGACACTGTCACATTTGACGGTCTTAATATTTCTGTCGGCGATCTAAAAAGGTCAATCATACATCAAAAGCGTTTGGGAAAAGTTACTGACTTTGATTTACAAATAACAAATGCTCAAACTAAAGAAGGTAGGTATTTTTAATTTTTATACAGATGTAGCAATTTTAGCACTAGAAATTAATGTATTGGAAATAATGTTTTGAAGCCCTCGTTCTGTTGTTTTCTATTTAGATACATCAGCTAGGAAAACACGAATTTAATTTGTGTGCTACTATGGTACAAGTTATTTAAGTTTTTCGTTGTATCGTTGAAGCATAAAGTTACTAGGAATGCTGCTGAAATGATAGTCTTTGGCCAAAAGTGAGTGGCACCGGTGAAATGAAAATGGCCTGATTATGTTGCATACATATATCACATGAGGCGAGAGTGTGTAGGGATACTATTGAAAATAAAAGCAAAACATGTTTTAGGTGCACAGAACTTTACTACCTAGGGAGGCAGATTCCTTTCGTGAAACTGAACATTTTCCGTACACATTTGTATATGTACATATGTTTACATGCTTGTATTTTGTTTTCGATTTTTCAAGAATCTTATTGGATATTCCCTTGTTGCAATTCCCTTGTTGTTGTCGTTCCATATGTAAATGCTATTCTAGCTTGCTTACTAACAACAAATTGTTAAGGGAATTCTCTGAGTCTTGCAAAGCCCTTGCACGGTGCACGGATTGCATGGGTTGCAAAGCTGTCCTATACGTAAACCGGTTTTCCGTGCAATCTGGGGGCCGCAAAGTGCGTAATTTGGCCGATAAGAGGCAAGGAAAATCGAAAATCGAAGTTTATAAAAAAAGTTAGAATGCGATATATGTGCGTATGGATGTCTGATATAATAGAAAATTGGTCCCCAATTGTTTGAAGATAAGCTGAAAGAATGCTGAGCTTCTAACAAAAACCATATAAATTCATATTTCAAACCTTGTTCCAAAATTGTAAAAACTGCAAAATTGCATCTAAATTTTCAACTTTTAATCAGACTTTTTAGAATATCTTTTGACTATGCAGTTTTATAGCCCACTGAATTTTAGTGAAATGAAGTGCAAGTTTTAAGTTGCTGAAAAATGGCGTTGATTTTTCGCAATTTTTTAATGCATTTTCTCCATACCAAATATGTTCGAAAATTTTTGTTGTATGGAAAAAAGTGCGTACTACATTTAGAATCAA